ATCCCCAACAACCAGGCTATACATGACAAAACCATGGAAAATGAACCTAGAATTAGCTACTAGGAATTCCCATATTACAGTTCCATTGCTAAATGCTAGACAGTAATCAACAGGCGAGGGCGAGGAAAGATTAATTTCGCAAGACTCTTTACCATCCAGTCATGAACTTCTTTGAAGCCCAGCTGCGGACGACCTTATGGAAAGCCTGCATTTAAAGAAGAAAAAAAGGGGGTGATTTTTTTTTTTTAACATGAGCTGTTCTAGCTTGAACCCGGAACATGCTTTCTCAGTTTCAGCAAGGCAAGTATCAGATAGGAATGCAAGAGTAGGAGCCAAAAAAAAAGTATTTCAGTTGCTGTCAAGTAATTGTCATTCCGCACCATGTTCGCTTGATCGTATCAGCCATGCTTATCAGCTATGATACAGTATTTTTCTCTCCCAACAAAACAGCATCAGCCGGCTTATAAGCCACAAAAACGATCGAACAGGGTGCCAAATTGCAGCTCAGCGTGCAAAAGCTCTAGGCAGTTTAGAGATTCCACTAACCAAATAAATGTTTTGAATATCATTTTGTTCAACTGGTAATATAGGGGTGTGCCATCGTAGAAAAACAAGTGGGTCACAGTCTTCTCAGCTTTCTATTTTTAAGCAGATCGAAGCTATGCACAATCCAGTACTAATACCATTTGCCCACAAGACCCAAATAGGACATTGAAGCATTTCCTAGTACATAAACTGCTCCTCGGTTCATACCGTTAACAAACATCACAGTCAACAAGATGTAGCTGAGTTTAAAACAACGAAAATAACATAAATCGTAAACTAACCGAACAGACCCTTGAATAAAAGGGGGGCAAGAGAAAAAACAAACTAACTATGCAATCGAGTAGGGAGGGGGGCGGGGGCGTACCTCGCGGCCGGAGGAGGAGAGCGCGGCGGAGGCGGAGGAGGCCCTGTCGCCGTCCTCGACCCCGTCGCCGGGCGCCGAGCCGCCGCCGGAGACCGGGATGAGGAGCTCCCGGTCCCGGTCCCGGTCGCGCCCGCCCATCGGGCTCAGGCTCAGCGGAGACTTGTTGTCTCCCATGGGGCTCGTCTGCCGCGGCGGCTGTCAGCCGCCGGTCGCCCTTGCCAGCTCGGGTCGTCGCGATCGCTGCTGCGGGGAGGGGATGCCGGCTCGGCACGGCCGCTGGGGCAAGAGACTTTTTCTATTTTTCGTTTTTTTTTCTGGAGTCTTTTGAGAGTTTGCCCCTCTTCTGCTGTCCCGTCCCGTGGGCACCTGTCGAGTCGCTCTTCCTCGCCCACTGCCCCGCCGTGGGATGGAGGCGTGGGGCCCACATATACGAGCGAGACGAAGTGAGAGTAATGAGGTGGGTACGATCATGGTGATCGCTTGATTAATCAGGTCAGGTGAAGCAGAGTTTGATTTGATAGCTAGCAAAACAGTTAGCTCCACCAAATAAACAAATTAACAAAAAGCTGCTGAAGCCTCCAGCAAGTTTGAATTCCCGAAATAGGTAGTAGCACCAAACTGATTTGAACACCGCACAACCAACGTTGTGTAGGGAGTCTCCATCCGTCTCGTTGGAGAGAATCGTTAGTCCAAATTTGCAAGAAACTCGGATGAAAATGGCATTCCTCAAAATTCATGTCAACATTTCTTTACTTCGAAACAAGCCTAAATAGTACAGCCAGCATAGCACTGACATGGAGGCACTCTCGTCATCTCATGCTTGACATGACGTGACTTTCCCCTGTGGAAATTTCCCGGTCAACCAAAGCCGGAAAGGAGGTAATCCATGGCGGGCTGCAGTGCGCCAAGGGAGTTGCCCCTTGCAAGATTAGTCCCCGCAACGGAACCATTTGCAACGTGCAAGTTCAAAGCTTAGAAACTCCCAGGACAAAGAAATTACGTGGAACCAGGCACAACATATGAACACATATCAAGAATGTTATTGGAATACGGAGTAATATATAGAGTCTAGCAGGCACATTGAAATTCTTCAAGTTGGAATAGTATATATAGAGTCTAGCAGGCACATTGAAATTCTTCAAGCAAGGTGGAGAGAGGAGCTTCAATTTATTTCCCACTACCAGGCAAGTAAAAATTACAAGGTTTGCACAAGTACACGGTGTGTACTTCATACATAGCGACAGCGTCAATGGTTGGACAGGAACGTACAAATACAGAATGTGAAGGTTCCTCCATGCTTCCACAGAAACCCTGCAGAAAAGAAAAGAATGGCTGGTTCAGAAACTCGAACAGAGTTGGTTTGTAAGTTTGTAGCTATTCAAACAGGCCAGACAGGGAAATTACAGCTGCTTATTTCATCACAAATCAGGAAAATATATGGTTAATCAATATATCCAGGCGGGGAAGCTCTCCCCTCCGTAGTTCATGTAAAAAAAACACAAATCAGGAAAATATGAACAAAGTAACATCTTAGAAAAGCACAGCATACACATATCAGATGCCAGGAGGTAATTCCAGTTCCTGCAGCACTTTTTGTTCCAACATGACTTGTGAATCTAAATAAGTGATGATTAAAAGGTCACAAATGCATACAAGGAAGTGGATTCTCAATCGTACAATGATGCTATGTAAGATAATCAATGTATTGAGGCCAACTGCAAACTAAGTTATAGGAGAATGATCTGGAGGGGATTTTTGGTACCAAATAAGTGCGTGTTTAGTTCGCGAAATTTGAGAATTTGGGGTTACTGTAGCACTTTCGTTTTTATTTGGCAATTAGTGTTCAATCATGGACTAATTAGGCTCAAAACGTTCGTCTCGCAATTTCCAACCAAACTGTGCAATTAGTTTTTTTTCGTCTACATTTAATGCTCCATGCACGTATCGCAAGATTCGATGTGATAGATACTGTAGCACTTTTGGGAAAACTTTTCGCGAACTAAACAAGGGCTAAACAAGTTAACCATCTGTGATGTGAGCGGTAAACCCATGAAGATGATTTTGGTGGTACCATGAAACGATTCTGAGTGATGGTATTTGGGCACCATACTGTGCTGAAAATGGAGACCTCAAGGTCCAGTCAGACTGCTTAAACGACACCCTATACACTACGGCACCAGTCTTATAGTCTCAGTAAGCATGAGACCTGGCCTTTGGCCTAAGACCAGGTCTTACACAATAGAAAATTGCAACAAAGTAAGCTGACACAGTTAGAGAGAGCGTGGGAGGACTGTAATCCTTGCTGATGCCTGCCATGTATGAGAAAGAAAAGAAGTTAGGACTTATGTTTATTTTAACTGATATATATGTGGGTCCCGTCTTATAGTCCATCTAGACCTTATACATAACAACAAATTGATCTTAGACACATCACCCCTTCTTAAGGTCTATGGTGACCTTATACACTACCGATACCCTATTGTGTACGAGCTCTAGGTCTAGGTTGGTGGCATAGATGTGAATTTCCTAAAGATCGATAAATTAGATACTGCAAGTATGAAAGGCTTGGTATCGTGTTGATGGAACTGGGTCATAAGATAAATTCATATGCTAAACTACTCAATAGACAAACTTCTAAGTGTAAACAAATTGAAAATTGTAGCTAAGACCACGATTACAGGGCAAGAACGATATGCCTGCTGTCTTTCTTTTGAATTTTTTTTATTATCAAAACAGTAGTTAGTACTAGCTATACCCACCTTCAATTGAACTTAATAGCTGTTTATTTGAATTGGCCATTGGATTAACTTTGTATAAAACCACAAACAGAGTTAGCTGATTCACATCAGATGGACTAGCAAGTAGCAACATCTAGCTCCAGATGAATCCCAATAAAATTGCTTCTCTCAAAGACCAGAGCTATACTCAAATCAGATAGATTTTTTATCTTAAGTATGGTGAAACTAAAATACTGAATAGGTCAGGTCCATCATAAATGCACAATTACATAATTAACCAAACCAGCAGAAAATAAACTTAATTATTTTCAAGAAATGCATAATCAAAAGTGAGAACATCTACACAGTGATGCAAATTACAGATTTGCAGGTCACCTTCAAATCAAATTCACAATAGAGAACATGGGCATCTTCATGAAGGTCTGATGGACCAATAATTCACAATCATGATAAAAAATTATGATTGTATCATGATCGGCAAGCATGATATTCAAAATACTAATAAGTTAGCTATACACCTATACTACTTGCTCTTTAGGTTATTATATCACAGTAGTAGTTATCCAAACTTGTGGGTCTTTCTTGAGGAATTGTTCTACTAAGAAAACAACCAAGAGTCCAGAATAGCAAAAAAAAAAAAAAATGATAGATGACAGTGGGTCAAAGCCTTGTTAGACTCATGCTCCCAGCTTGAACTAAATCCTCATAAAATCAGTTGCATATAAAAACAATAAAAAGATCTCATGGAATCAAATAGAAGCACAAACAATTTGAAAATTGTAGCAAGTACCATGACAGGGAGATGGAGAAGGAAAGGCCAAATCCCCATATTTCAGTTATTTACTGCTGTTATTACTAAAACAATAGCCCTGAACCCTTAGATTGTTGGATTTATTCTTCTCTAAGGTTACATTCAGTTATTAATGTCCTCGCAGCGTAGTATGTAATTACTCAATCTATTTCACCTCTAGCTCTGCCACTGTTTTCACATGTCTAAATTTGGTTAATTCGGAAGAAAAAAAAGGCGTAGCAGAGAGCTCTCACTCTGTGCGGGGTATGGGGAAGGGTGTTAGTGGCAAGCCTTAAAAGTTCCCAAAATCCACTAACCTTGGATAAAGATGAACCTCGGATCACAATTGCAGCTGAAACTAAGCATATTCTTACTGCAAGCCAACAACATCGGGCAAATTATTTGATGCTGATTTGATATGAGATTCTGGGTACAGCACAGTCAAACTATCGGTAAAACCAGCAAAGATGAAACCGTATGTTTTCTCATCAGCAAGAGAAGCACTCCAAGGAGACAGCATCTGCACGATTGCGGGAAGACTGACCTCTCTCGAATCACGACATCAGAGCTTGGAAGCGAAGTGCTTCCGCTTCTCCTCATCGCTCTCCTCGACAATTCCGACTGACCTGCAGGCCTCAGGGTACATGGACATCCTTATGGATGCGTACACGCCCCCATCCCACTTCCTGGCCGCGAGCTGCTCGGCAAGCTTGAAGGCCTCGGCCGCCGTCTCGTCCGCAGAAGGGTAGACGGCATCCACGATGCCCATCTCCTTGCCCTCGGCGGCCCTGACCTTCTTGCCCCTGAGCGCGACGTCGCGGAGCGCGTTGGCGGCGGTGATCTTGGCGCGGAGCACGGCCATGAAGTAGGGCGGGAGCGGGAGGCCGATGTCGACCTCGCTCATGTAGAGCACCCCGCGGTCGCCGCGCATGACGCAGTAGTCGTGGCAGAGAGCGAGGAGGCACCCGCCGGCGGAGGCGTGGCCGGTGACGGCGGCGACGGTGGGCATGGGGAGCGCGAGCAGGTCGGCGGCGAGCGGGCGGAGCGCGGCGACGAGCTCGCTGAGGCGCGCGCGGGAGGTGCCCGCCCACCCGATGTCGAGCCCGTTGGAGAAGAAGCGGCCCTCGCCGACGGTGACGAGCGCGGCCCCGGGCCCCGCCTTGGCCGCGGCTTCCGCGGCGGAGGCGACGGCGGAGCGGAGCGAGGAGATGAGGGCGTGGCCCAGCCGGTGCTCGCCGTCGCCGGTGAGGGTGAGGACGAAGACGCTGCCGCGCTGCTGCAGGGTGCACATCGTGCCGGCGGGGCGGATGGGGGCGGCTCTCGCGGTAGGTGCGGAGCGTGGAAGGCGTGTGTGGCCTTCGGCTCTTCGCTCTTCAGCAGCAGAGCAGGCGATGAAGGAGCGCTCGATTTTTGTTTTGGCCGGCCGAATCGATGAAGTCGCAACTCACAAGGCAGCCAGATTGGTCGTAGTGGGACGTACGCTCCAAGACGCGAGATTATTCAATTTGATACGGATTGGGGCTTCTGACTCTACTAGGAGGGTTAAACTGAAATGGGTGACGGAACGGATGAGTCAAGAGTTTGCCACGATGGTGCCACAACGTTCACACTAAACACAAACGTTTGGGGACAGCTAAATAGATAGTATTATCAGCAGGTAATCGCGGGTCCAGATTACTAAACATGTTTTTTTAGGGATCTGGAGGGGATTACTACTATTCTCATGTGTTACTCCTACTTGGCAAATCTGTCTATCTTCCAGCGTTTGTTAACATAGACGGGTACCTTTCAGCAGCAGATAAACGTGAGTCCAGATTCCACGAACACGCTGCTGCATTCCCTTGCTTTTTGTATGTTCCTGGCTTCCAGCGAGTGTTAAACATACAGCCTCTTCTTCGTTTCGACTGAATTGGCTCATAAGCCATCGCTGAAAGTACTGCTGACTGGTTTGATGTGAGAAAAAAATACTATTTAAGCCGTGGATTATAAACTAGATACGAGCGAATAAGCCGAAACGAACAGGCTTATAGACAGGTACCTTTTAGGCGGTGTTTAGTTGGGCAAAGTTGCATAGTGAAGATTTCCTACTGTAGCATTTTATTTGTATTTGTGAATTATTATCAAACATTGACTAATTACAAAAGATTCGTCTCGCAAAGTTAAAGCAAACTGTGCAATTAGTTTTTGATTTCATCTACATTTAGTACTTCATACATGTACCGCAAGTTTGATGTGACGAAAAATCTTCTTTTTACATAGTACACTTTTTAGAAGTTTGGATGAACTAAACAAGGCTTAGCAGCAGATAAACGTGAGTCCAGATTCCACAAACATGCTGCTGCGTTCCTGACAGGTACAGAGACTTTCAGAGAAACACAAAGGTTCATAAACATGCGATCTGACATGGTACGACGTACATGGTACGACGTATTGAGAATATAGGTTGGGCATGGAGCAGTGATAAACTTCCAACCACCGAAGTAAAGACAATCGCTCTGTACACTGGCTCGTTTAACTGATAAGTCATGACTAAAGATACTGTTGACTAATTTGATGTGAAAAAAAAATATTATTCGTTAGCCAAAAAATATGCCTTATAAAGCCAACAAAGCCCAAACGAACGGGACGAATATACAACGGTTATACTCGACATTTCCCATTTGTATAAACTGTGTAGTTCAGAACTGGTGAAAGCTAAAAAACGGACAGTTGAGACTAGGCCAAAGTAGCACCAAGACAAAAAAAATTGGATAGTTCACGACAGTCAAATTATATCAGTTTTACAGAGAATTCGCAAGAACACTGGATATCACATTTTTCGCAAGTGAACTAGCATGTTAAACAACAGACCAACTGAACTGTATGTGATTTTTCCATATCAAAAGTATTGAGGTACAAAAAGGAACTAGTCTACTTCTGTGCAGCAGCATCTGTTAGCTTTGGAATCGTATCGTCTTCGCCATGGGAAACACAAATATCAATTTTCGCAGGCAAGATTAAGGGTATGGTATCAACTGCAACTGCTCACATCATTACCAAGTCTCTCCATGCCCATATAATCAACTAATTTCTAGAAAACTTGAGTCACGCAGCATACACACTTTCTGGCACAACGAAGCATGCTCATGCAGGCAACTCGAGCTTAACATTGTTCTTCCAACTGCAATGATCGACATGGAAGCGTCAATACTCAGTAACAAGAAATATGATGATAGATGTTAATGGTATGTGACATTTCACAACGGTATGCAGTTTACCTTAAGAAATAATAGTAAAAGAAATCTGCATACAGAGCTGTTTGCACCAAACCAGCGAGCCAAGCTGAAAGAGATAGACCATTAGTGGACAACAATTATGATAAAACATGTGGGATAAAACACTATACCATAGTGACAACTTACGGATCCATCTGCTGTGATGACCCTCCGTGAAATAACGGTAAATCCAGTTTAGAATGTAAAATGCACGGTAGGCCCTGAGAAAACAAGTATGGTGTTACTATAAAGAGACAAAGTAGCTAGAGAACTGAAAAGTGTGAAGAGAATTTAATCTTCTAGAGAATTTGTTCTTGTCTCATGATGCAACTTTGATATGTCATACTCCTATTTTGTCCACTCTAGGAAAGATATACTCCCTCCGTACATGAATAAATCAATTCCTAGAGTTATCTTATGTCAAAGTTTTTTTTATGTTTGACCAAATTTATAGAAAAGACCACAAATATTTATGAAACCAAATAAGCACATTATGAAAATATATTTTATGGTGTATCTAATGATACTAATTTGGTGCTATAAATATTTGCGCTCTTTTATATAAATTCGGTCAAAACTTAGAAAAGTTTGACTTAAGACAGAATTGATTTATTCAGATATGGAGGTAGTACTAAACTGAAAATTAACCAAAAAAGACAATCCAAGTAAAATGGTAAACAAAGAAAAACATAGTTGCATATAGTGCATGCCTGAAATTAAGCTAGAAACCCAGGATCAAAGGTTAAGTTTCTTTGGATTTTTGGACTCCGAGACTATCCCTCCCTCCCACTAAAATATGAACTCCAAATAACACGAGATGATCCATTACTATATTTCTATAGCATCAATCAGATATTAACTACACTATACGCGTCTGAAATTCTTATATTGGTTTGTGCCACTTATTGAGGATATGCATATCTATTAAATGCTGGTATATTTCAAGACTGCAGCATTGAACTATGTTCAATGCCATAAATTGTTTCATCTTTACTGGATAGCAGGCTTTGAATACAACAGATGTGTTCAGAAAAATAGCAAATTTGCCGACAAAGGAGTAAAAAAACATACCCAAGGAAGAAAACATATTGTCCAGTTAAGTTATCCACATTTCTGCTTCTCTGGAGCAACACTAACTGTGGGAGAATGGCCACTGCCTCCAAATAGATTGAAAAAGCCCAGCATATCTGCAAAGGAACAGTATTTTAGCCTTTTAGGCTACTTTGTCTCCATCAATGAATCTTTGGAACAATTAGTAACACTTCAGTATACACATAACTTATAATATTTTGAGGATTCTGATATGTTATCATTTAACTTCCATTTTAGTAGCTAATGATCACAGCAACTATGATAAGGTAAGACAATTCAAGCCAAACAGGCAATTACTAATAAAAGAAAGTATGTAAAAGCAATTGAACTGTACTAATAGATTTGCAAAAGTGTGAAGAGATTCTGATCAAAGTATATGGGTGTGAACTGAGCAAACAATTGTAAATTTGGAAAAATTATAAATGAACTTCGTAGAGCAAAATGCAGTATTAGTTTCGCACTACGTTACACGGATACGTGGCTGAGGGAGCGTATCGCGTGTCGGATACGTATCCGATATGGATACGCGTCCGATACATATCTGCGGAGTATCCGATTTTTTATTAATTTCGCAATTCTTGAGTACGCCTGTGGATACGTATCTGTATCTGGGATACGGCCCAGCCCAACAAAAACAATGTCTCCCTGTGTCTCCCGACGCCCTAGCCCCCAACACTCGCACCTCGTGTGGTCGCGCCGCCTCCAGCGAACACGCGCAAGGAAGCCTCGTCCCTGCTCACCGGTCACCAGCGACGAGCCTCCGCCCCCGCTTGCTGGCCGCCGGCGACGAGCCTCCGTCCCCCGCTCACTAGAGACGAGCCTCCGTCCTCGCGCACAGCCTCGTGCGTACATGTGCGCCGCCTCCTGCGCAGGGGATGCGCCACTGCTCGCCGGCCGCCGTCGCCGAGCCTCTGGCCCCTCCATGCCATCCTCCTCCTCCAGATCGGCGCGCCGGGAGCACCTAGCAGTTCGTCATGGTCGCAGCCAGCTCCCGTGATGCAGGGGATGCAGGGGAGAGGATGATTCAGCAGCAAAGCAAGCTGTCTACTCTAATTCTGCATGTACATCCCCTTCCCTATTCTTGATCTACTCTGCTTCTGCAGTTCTTGCTTAATTTTGTTTGTTCCCCACTTCCCCTTCCTGATTTTTGCCCATTCTTGATTGCTTCATTGCTTGCATGCAATAGGTGGTCTCTCCAAATTTGGTAGTGCTGGCACAAGCTAAGTGCTAGTGCTAATCCTAGCATAGGATCTGTGGGCTGTGGCTATCAGCCACAATCACAACAGAGAACCGACATTAGGATTTCCTGTAACTCGAGTTTTAGACTTTCACAATTTTAATTTGTATTATTATTTATTTATTAAAAAATAGTAAAATGTATCCGCGTATCATGTTTTCTAGAAAATTGCCGTATCCGCGTATCCGTATCCTTCCGATACCGATACACGTATCCGTATCCGTGCTGCATAGGTTTCGCATCCCTTTTACAGTTTTACATTCTAGGCATTGCATTGCCCTTCGGTAAACTAATCATCAAGCTTTCTACTATAACATAGATACACATACAACATGAATCTGAAAATTTGACCAACAGCAAATAATATCTACTAGTCATGTACACATATACAATCTCCTGCTGCCTACTAATCATTATTCAATTATGAGGCAGATCACATCTGACTTCATGCAAGTAAGAAATCAAGTATGGTCCTATTATCTACTAGTGGTGTGGATCCAATTTCATACCCAAGACAATCATACACAGCAGTCACATCACTAGCACAGTTTGTCAGACACGGAATATTATTCAATTAATAGGTAGCTTTTACCATTCTAGCAACAACAAAATGGAGGGCAAACTAACAATGCAAAAGATAATATATTTTCTCTATCTTTTTTACCAGAACACAGCTTAAAATTTCATCACGGATCCCATAACACCATCATCAATTCAATAATGCAATGAGTAAAACAGGACAGATCCAATAGAGAGAAAACATCACCTCGCGGAAGGTGAACTGCTCGTGGAACATCAGCGCGAGCAGGAATGATGCGGCGACGAGCACCGCATGGCGGAAGGTGTCCTGCTCCTTGTCGTACGTCCTCCGTACCTGCGGGTGGCGGCGCACGCACCACACGATGGCCGCCGAGCTGGTGATGAACACCACCTTCATCATCGAGTTGTAGAGCGAGACGTAGTCCGTGAAGAGGTCCAGGTACCTCGCGACGAACACCAACATGTACAGCTCCTGCGTCTTCCTCGACACCCCTGCGCGGCGGCGCCCAGATCTGTAAGCGGCAAGCCCCCCGTAACAGGCGGTCGAAACCCTATCGCTGCTACGGCTTACCTGAGCAGGACTTGGTGGCGTAGATCTTGAGGAGGAGGACGAGGACCGAGAAGAGGTGGGTCATGTCCCCGAGGAACCGGAAGGCGTTCATGGCTGCGGTTCCGGCGGTGGCGGCGCCGGCGGCGCAGAGGCTAGGCCGTTAGGGTTTGGGGGTTTAGAACAGCAGCTCCAGATGCGCAGGGAAATGGCGGAGAGGATCAGAGGAGAGGTGGGCTGAGGACACCAGGACAGGAAGAAACGAGAAGGGTGGTGGCACCCTCGTGGGCCGGTGTGGACAGAGTCTGCACGGCGGGGACCACATGGCAGTGACCCATGGACCAGTGGAGTTGTGCAGCAAGAGAGGTCCAGAGGGAGGTGCGCGAGCGACGCGTGGGCCTCGGTGCGGACTTGCTGTGGGTCCCACGTGTCAGTTACGGATGGCGAGGTGTGGGCGTCGTGGGGCAGCGAGCAGAGGTGACGTGGCCGGGCACCTCACCTGCGCGGTGACGTCATCTCGCCGGCTCTTTTTTTTTTCCTCTGGCTTGCACTTTGCACAGCCCCTCTCTCTCACATGCCGCTGATGCTTCGCGTCTCCTACTCCCTCCTGCTTCCACCTATTAATCTACCGCACTCTCTTCCCTCCCCGTTCCACCCGCCTCTTCCGCCGCGAGATCCGGCTCCGCTTCCAGAAGCTTCTGGAACGCCCGTTCCATGAGCGTCTGATCGGCCGCCGCCATGGGCTGCGCTGGATCCACTCCCAAAGTCGATGGTATCTTCTTGACGCTTGCGTTCTCGATATGTTTCCTTTTGGCTGCGAGCTGTTAGCTGCTAAGATCCGATTTGAGCCGTTCCAAGGCACTGCTAATAGTAGGATTAATCGTCTGTTCTTTACTCTTCTTGATTGTCGATGCAAGTGACGCTAAATCCCATCCCATAGCTTTTAAGGCATCAATTCACGAGTCATAAAAGAATTCAGTTGCCGAAGTGTTGATCAAGAGGAAATTTAGCAAATTGTCTCTGACGGATGGCTGCGATGATTTTCACAAACTACTGCTTTAGCAAATTTGTCACAAACTATGGATTTTCATCGATGTAATTGTCCAATTTTGGTAAGGCTATCAGTATAGTGGAGTCAGTACTGGTAGAAAGTAGAAACTCTTGCATCCTGAATTTAGTATGTGGTTAGTGGAGGAATGACATTATCATGGCTAAAAAAAGGTGTCCAAGTGTCAAAGTAATATGATGCCAAGTACTGTGGCAGGCGCGCCTATAGTATGCTATGCTGTATTTTCTAGCAGGACAAAAGCTATTTTGTTTGTACCTAACAAAAAGCAAAGATGAGATTTCGATAGCAGCGAAGTTACGGTAATGCTCATCATAGAACAAAAGAACCTTTTTTATGGATTGAGCAAATTTGCATTTTTTGATAGCTAGTGCCTTATCTAGTTTAAAGCACTTTATTACGCCGGTACATTTCAGGAAAGGCTTACAGAATGATACTCTATGCAAGTACTTATACTCACTATTTGAAATTTGCATAATAATTTTTCGTTATTGTGCTTCGTAACTTCAGCATCAGAAATAGTGTGTTCAATTAATGGTAACTTTGCTCACAGTCTATGTAGATAATTTAGTGAACACTAATTTTGCCTTTTCCTTTTCTGTGTTCTGCAAAGAGTCATGCATCCATAATCTTGCTTGTGAATTGTGGACAAAAATGTGCTGCAAGTTGGTCTTGCCGCCAACTAAAGAAAATTATTGCATCCTTCAGTTACCAACAGTTTGTGAATCCAGATTTCTTCTTGACTATACCTCTCTATCCTTGCGCCATGGTATCTATGGTGACACACTTTTGGAGGTTATTAGCAGTATTCTTTGATAACTCTGTGCCTTAGTTTCAAAAAAAAAAAAAATCTGTGCCTTTTGACCTGCTATCCAATAAATGAACGTTAAAAATATATTTTCATGAATACAGAGAACAGCAAGAAGCTGAAAAAGCCTAAGGCTTGGAAGCATACTCAACCAATTACACCAGCACAACTCAAACAGATGCGTGATGAATTCTGGGACACGGCTCCACACTATGGTGGCCAAAAAGGTATGTTTAACTGTTCATGCAAAGTTGAACAGAACTAATTCTTGTGTTGGTGCGTACTTCATGATTCTTGCAACACTGGTTGGTTTTATCCTCTCTCATTTTTCAATGTTTTCATGACAATAACTGGCTGATGTTTGTGTTGACCTGTCCAATTACTATCTTTAAATTTAGGAGTCTAGTGATTCAATTTAAACTCAAGTTTTCAACAAAAAATAATGCTGAGCCCTTATTTAAATGGTATACTGGCTTAATATCAAACAAGAACCAGGTCTTAATCTTATTGGGTAATATGACTCGACTTCTTGGTTTGTTTGCCTTTGTGGGTAATCTTGAGTTTGGTTGCACACAAATAGTTGGCTTGGAAAATGGTCATTTTTTCTCAAAATCGCTGGTACTGACCAAATGCAAATTGATATTGTATCGTTCATTTATAGTAGTTTCGAAGCCATGCTTTCTGTTTCTACTATGAGACGTACTACTTTAATTAGCATCACTACTGTAACGAGTCGCTGTCTCGTTGTCCAGAGATTTGGGATGCTCTAAGAGTTGCCGCAGAATCTGATTTAGCCCTTGCACAAACCATAGTGGACAGTGCTGGAATCATCATTTCAAATCCTGACATGACGCTTTGCTACGACGAGAGAGGTGAGCATGACTTATTCCCAATCTAATGATTTTCTCCTCGAGTTGTTCAAGACCAATACCGAAACTTAAAACTCTGTTGCAGGTGCCAAGTACGAACTGCCTAAGTATGTTTTGAGCGAGCCAACAAACTTGATCCGCGACGGGTGAATCTGGAGCCAGGACTTACCACACGAGCAGGGCCACGTAAATTATGTGAATGTTGATTTGGTCGCTGATTCTGGATTGTGACTTTCAGAGACAATATGAAGCTTCTTTCAGCAGTGTATAGTAATCTTATTGGACACGCTGTAGACCAGCCACTGAACTCGGTTATACAGGAGAGTGCTGACTATGGTGCATATACACATGTAATCACCAGTCCATCCTTTGCACTTGGAGAAAAACTACACACGTGCCTGTTTGCGAAATGTAGTGTCATTTATGTGCAATTCGCATCGAAGTTGTTGCTGTCTATGCCATGTGAGTATGTGACAGAACTCAGAAGAAATGAAATGCCTGTCAAGAACGACAGTTTTTATTTTTTTTCTTTGGGGGTGAAAGACCCTGGCAAGAACAACAGTAACAGGAAGCTGCCAAAGGGAGTAAAACTGGTAGGATAAGATTAACATGAAGCTGCCAAATAAACTAACTAATCATGGTCGCGCATCATGAATAGGCCAAGGCTGCTTACAATCAAATCCTGCCTCAAGTAAGCTAGTGTCGGATCTGAGATCGGATCGGCAGGGAAAGGACAGATCTTCCGAAATGGTCTAGTGAGCTGAGCGGAAGAACTGGAGAGACGAGAGTGGTGTGGCTTGGGACATGATAGGTGGCCATTGCTGTTGCGCTTTCTCTGCTTTCTAGAGCGAAGCTCCCGTGTTTGTCCCAACGTCTGGAACATACAGAAAGGCCGTAGCAATCTCGATGCAGAGGAAAGTCGTGCGCGTGCCCAGCAAGTTATGTACGTATGACAAACTTGGCTCTAGTTACGTGACCAAATAGAGTAAACTGTACTGTACCGCGCTGTGGAAGCACAGCTGAACTTCGGTTATACTCCACTTATCAGCAAGGAGGTACGGTATAGGCAGGGATTCCACTCCACCCAACTGTCTCTTAACGATCGTTGCGGAGTACGGGCCGAGCTATTGGCTCCGTTCGGCTCGTTGAAACTTGACTGAATTGGCTGAAAACACTGTTTTGGCTGAATTGTTGTGAGAGAAAAATATTGTTCCGACTAAAAAAACAAGCTGAATAGTGCGGATTATAAGGTAAGCCGAACGGGACCATTGTTAGGCGATATTGTTTGCTAGTACTACCAATTGATTACCCCTATAAATCCAAGCCTCTTCAGTCTTACTGTCCACTGGGCTGAACAGGAGCTGTTCGACTGATGGTTTCTACGACTGATAAATTGGCTGAAGTTGATTTGTTGTGAGAGAAAAAAGTTCAAGCGACCGTGGTCCGTGTTGTGCACACATTCCAGGGCTGTGAAAGTTTTTTGAGCCAGCTTGAGGGTTGTGAGAGTCATCAGACTTTGAGTGAGTATTAAGAAACTAAGTACTACCGTGCCAGTATATGGAGCAGGGCCTAACTGCTCGGGACAGGGCAGGTCACAGTCTCGTACTTGCGGGGCCGGTAGTGTGGCATCTACGCTTGGTGTATGTGACAGCTGCACGCCTGCACTGCATCTGCGTGCAGCGTCTGAGGTCGTAATTCTGCGTGCAGGACTGCAGGAGCAATGCAGTGCAGGGGAACGCTTCCTGGTGGTTTAGTAACGACATGTGCATCAAACAACAGATATCGTAATTCTCCCGACGCAGACTACTAGTACAAAGTCATATTTCATCTTCAAGCGAACAGGGCCGTACATTTGCTTTACCTTTTCGGTCCCAAAAGTCTGGTGAACATGGTTACAATGCGGGTTTCAGGGTGCTCTCTGTCCTCTGCTTCTGCAAGTTATTCCGATCGTCTGCAAAATCACTATTCGAGCTCATTTGGACATCCGATGGAGACCTGGAAGGTGAGACTTCCATCGAGCGTGTGTTGGGGTGTGGCCCGTGAGTTCGTTTGGCTAAAATTTGGCTTAGGCTCATTTACTGTGGGAGAAAAAAAACTGTCCATTCACTGAGTAATGCTGCAGAACATGACCAATAGTTTAATATAGACTAATTATAAAAAAAATTTACTCCCTTCTTTCAAGAAAGAATACAATTTGAAAACAATATCATGTTTCGTTATTCTAAGTTTGGCCAATTATATAGATAAAAATATTTATATTTATAATACCAAACAAATATCCTTAGATTAATTACAAATAAATATTTTTATAATAAATTAATTTGGTGGCATAAATGTGAATACCGTACACTAGAAACTTGGTCAAACGTAAACCACCTTAAGCTGGCATGCAATCCATCGTTGTATTCTTTGTTGGATAGAGGTAGTGGTTTTTAAATAAAGTCTGTTTGGTTGGTGTAAGTAGTTTGCAATGTCACACCTTGACAAACTATGTCTACTACACGAGAAAGTGTGGTGAGCAAAATTAAAGCCACACTTAAGACAAAATTTAGCAAAAAATAAGTTTATAATGTGTGGGATAGGATGCTAAGAAAGGTCATGTCCACTTCTCTTATAATCCGTACTTTTCAGCTTGTTTTTCAGCCGGAACAGTGTTTTTCTCTCACAACAAATTAGTGAACAGTGCTTCAGCTTGTTTTTTCAGCGAAGCGGACGGAGGCTTAGCGTGACATGTCATAATTGTGACAGTAGACCAAATAGCTAACAAAAAAAACTGTGCCGTGATTAAGCTTTTGCGTGACAAGTTTTGGCACGAAACCAACACATTTATTAACTCTTAGTTAATAATTGGCCTAGATTTAGCTCTGTATTTGACATCAACAAACCCATGCGATCCAATCGCTCTCCCGTTGACTGGAAGTATGCCGAGAGCTCAGGCCTTCCACGTCCACGGTTTCACCATGGACTGGAAATTGAAACTGGAAGGAGGGAGACCGGGACTGGGAGAGCGTGGTGACGTCCCTCGTTGTCTGCGCCATTCCAGCGACGCCAGACTGACGGGTACTCGTGCAGAGCCTGCAGGGAGCACGCCCACTGTCTCCCTTTCTGGCCTTTCCTGCTCCTGCCAGAATCCTTGCAGAGTATTTTTTGCTGCACGCCCCCAACGGCCCAACACGATTGATGGATCACGCTGTGCCAGCGGAGTGGCGAACGCAAATCACGCTGGGGCTACTGGGGCCTGGCCGCCTGGGCTATGGTATGCCGTAGCACTTCGTCACGTCGCGTGGGTCTAGCGTTTCCCGCCCCCATTCTAGCCGTTCCGCCCTGCCCGCCCCGCGACACGTGGGCTGCGCCCCCTGCTCGCTGGCGCCCGTCGGCCGTCGCCATCTCCGGATGACCGGATGTCCGGGGGCGGGCCTGGCCTTTGCCTTGCGTGTCTGTCCATCATCAACTCGACACTCATATATGTTCCGCGGCACCCACCAGCCGACGTATGTGCTCACTGCCGCGTGGGACCGTCGGCATTGTTTTGGAACGTTGTGTGGGGGCGACGATCGGAAAGCTCCTGGGTGGCGACGGTTGCGCCGCCGGATACGGAGAGCATCCGGTGTCCGTCCGACTTCCGTGGGAGGAAGGAGACAGGGGACATGTGGGTGACGACAGGTACGATACGACGAAGATCTGCGGGCGGCAGGCCCCGCGTGCGAGACATGGGGTCGTCGTGCTGCTCGTACACTACAGTCTACAGTCCCTGCGCCGTGCGGTACTGTGCGCGGCTGCTGCCCAAGCACAGTGATGGGGAACAGACAATTAATCATAGGTAATGGTTCTCCTTCTGTTTGGTTAAGATAAGTGCCTGTTTAGTTCCCAAAATTTTGCAAATTTTTTTAAGATTCCTCGTCACATTGAATCTTTGGACGAAGCATTAAATATAAATAAAAAATAAAACTAATTACACAGTTTAGACGAAATTCACGAGACGAATCTTTTAAGCCTAATTAGACTATGATTGGGCACTAATTGCCAAATAACAACGAAGGCCGCCTCCCTGCACGCTGGGGCCCTCGACGTCGCTATCGGGGCTCGTGCCGCCGCTGCAGCTCCCCACCATCTCCTTCTTCTTGGCCGCGGCGGCGCGGGAGACGCGCCTGCACCTCGCCCGAGCGCGTGGCTGACAAACGAAGCCCACCCTAGGGTAAAATAGTCATTTCACCTGTCTATTTGATACCGTTAAGTAGAAAAGCGGACGAAATGACTTGAAGAGTAAAGAAGTTCAGAACGATGACACTCGTGTATGGTCAATTTTTTTAATAATTTATGTATAATTATAAACTTTTGTAATGGCATATGTGTAAAAGGCTCCTCCCCCTCGCCTGTCGCGAAACGATTACCCGACACGGGTCCCCAACCGAGATGACGGTTTAGCCGGAGACGGGAGAGTGGGGCGGGGAGAGGGAGTTTGAACCAGCGCAATGCCGGTGCCAGCGAGCGGCGGCGGGGACCACCTCCGCGGCCACGCGCACCTGACCAACTGCAGCCACCTGCGCCACCACCACGGGCCGCACGGCGCGTCCGGGCGGAGGCGCAGCCCGACGGGGTCCTCGGCGTCGGCCGCGCTGATGCGGAACCTCCTGGCCCTGCAGCGCTCGCGCTCGCTGTGGGACCCCTCCACCCGCCGCTCCGTCGACTCCGCCCCCTCCAACAACAACAGGGTCGCCGCCGACCCGGACGCCGACCACCCCCGCGGCAGCGGCGGCGCGCTCAAGACGCTCCTCGACCAGCTCACGGAGAACCCGCAGCCCAAGCAGGGCCGCCGGCCCCGGCGCCGGTTCAAGCGAGGGGCCTCCCGCCGCGCCGCCGCGGCCGCCTTAGATCGCCGCGCCGCTGCGCCCCGCGTCTCCGTCAACTCCAGCTCCCAGGAGGCCGTCTGCGGCAACAGGTACCTCTTCGGCGCCGGCGGAGCCGCCGACGGCGACGGCGGCGGTGACGAGCTGATGCAGCAGCAGGTGTCGCAGGAGTCGCGCAACGTGTGCGGCATCCCATGGAACTGGTCGCGCATCCACCACCGCGGCAAGTCCATCCTCGACATGGCCGGCCGGAGCCTCTCGTGCGGCCTGTCGGACCCCAAGCCGACGTCGGCGGCGCGGAGGTCCGAAGCCGCCACCTCCGCTGCCTCGTGCGGCCACGCCAACGGTTCGCGTTCGCACCCGCATTTCCCGGTCACCGCGAGGCTCACTTCCTCGAGCAGTTCGGACTCCGACTCTCTGCCTCTGCTTGTCGACGGCATACGCAACGCCGTCGACATTTCTAGTAGCTTCTCTGGGGAGCTCGGGATTTTCTCCAAGAGTAGCGAGCTGGACTCTGACCTCGCGTCCGAGGCACGGTCTGGGCAGAAGTCACGGGGCTCGCACCGTGTCCGACACCGGAGCTTGACACAGAAGTATTCTCCAAGGACTTTCAAAGACGTCGTCGGGCAGAGCTTGGTGGTGCAGGCGCTGTCCAATGCCATTCTGAAGAAGAAGATTGGGCTGGTGTATGTCTTCTATGGGCCACATGGCACAGGCAAGACCTCGTGTGCCAGGGTATTTGCAAAGGCTTTGAATTGCCACTCAGCTGAGCACCCAAGGCCTTGTGATTCATGTGCCTCTTGTATTGCACACAATCTGGGCAAGAGTAGGAGTTTGTTAGAGATTGGACCGGTTGGTAATATAGACCTTGATAGCATTGTGGATATCCTTGACAATGTGATGCTCTCGCTGGTGCCATCCCAGCACAGGGTGTTTATAATCGATGACTGCAACACATTGCCGCCTGATACATGGAGTGTCATATCTAAGGTCGTCGAACGGGCACGTAGGCGTGTGGTTTTTATTCTCATTAGCCCCAGTCTTGATCTCCCTCATATAATCGTGTCGAGGTGCCAAAAGTTCTTTTTCCCCAAACTAAAGGAGTGCGACATTATCAACACTTTGCAGTGGATTTCTACTAGTGAAGGCCTGGATGTTGATAGAGATGCATTGAAACTTATTGCTTCCCGGTCAGATGGGTCACTGAGGGATGCCGAGATGACTCTGGATCAACTCAGTTTGCTTGGGCAGAGAATTTCGATGTCACTTGTTCAAGAACTTGTAAGTTATCCAACAACAGTCATAAAAAATACTTCTTTGTTCCATGAAATTGTTTTTTTTTTCTGCTTCATTGCTAAACATTTATAACATGGAAGAACTTTAAATTACTAAACGGCCCAATAATCTTTAATTAGGGGTAACTATAATTTGATATAGTTTTTGAACGTACTTGAGGTATTGGCCCACATACCTGCTTGACATGCTTGAGTGCATGACTATTTTGACAAATTTACTAAGGCCCTGTTTGGATCCTTGGAATTGAAATCCATTCTTATAATCATAATTTAGGCACAGCTCAGTTAAGCTCATATGGTTATATGGGGAATATATTTGTATACTACTGTTGGCCATATGAGGGAGATATGCTGCATTTCTGTTTTAGGAGAGCGAGCCGAAGAGCGTGTTATAAGTTGTAGAGTAGAAACATAGTATGGTGATCTATATAATCAATTTCCATCTTCCACCCTATGAATTTAAGATAGGCTTATGTCTGAACTTTGGAAAGTTGTGAAATGTCAAATTCCTAGCCAAATAGCCTAGTCCATTAAGTAGATTCCTATCCCCCCAAAATGAAAGGATCCAAACGGCCCCTATGTGAAAAAACCGTCTTTCTGCACTTTTCAGAATAACTGCCAGGAATGCATTTAAGATTATATAAAGGGTTCTAACCCGTAAAAAAGGGCGTACCCAGTGCAGAGAGCTCCCGTTCTGTGCGGGGTCTAGGGAAGGGTGTCAGTGGCAAGCCTTACCCTCGCCTGTGCAATGCGAGAAGACTGCGACTTGAACCCGGGACCTTCCGATCACAGGCGGTAAGACTCTACCGCTTGCACCAGGCCCGCCCTTCAATATAAAGGGTTCTAACCCGTATAAAAGAAAAACCAGAGTCACAACAGGAAACATTATAATGCAATCTTGAATTCTTCATTTGAAATTTACCTGACAGCAGCAAGCAATACATTGTTTCCTTCTCCACAGGTTGGCTTGGTTTCTGATGATAAATTGGTTGATTTGCTTGATTTAGCTCTATCTGCTGACACAGTGAACACAGTGAAAACCTTGCGAGATATCACAGAAACAGGTGTTGAGCCACTGGCCCTGATGTCTCAACTTGCTACAATAATCACTGACATCCTTGCTGGCACCTATACATTCACACGAGAAAGAGTTCGGAGAAAATTCTTCAAACGTCCAACCTGTAAGCAACATTGCTATTGCTTATTAACAAATTCATACTCCAACCTTTTCTAGTACTACTAATAGATTGTTTAAGAATATATTTCCCCTATTTGCCTGTTATAATCATACTTATGTAGTTATATCTCTTCTTTACAACAAGAATGAAATACAGTGTTAGTAACACTGCTGCACTAGTTGTGTCTATCAAGTTTTTCTACCTTTCTTACAATCAGTCTTTCCAGTGTAAATATTTATATCCCCCACATCATTGTGAAAATAATTATATTCTGATTTCAGTATCAAAGGATGATATGGAAAAGCTACGCCAAGCCTTGAAAACACTCTCTGAAGCTGAAAAACAGCTGAGAGTCTCTAATGACAAGATGACATGGCTTACAGCTGCTCTTCTTCAGCTTGCACCTGATAAACAATATGTATTGCCGAGTTCATCCCCGAGTACAAGTCTTAATCAGGGTCTGTTTACCCGCCCCAAGGGAGACATAGCAAGGAGCTCTGCTATGGATCATAGTGATATATATGCTGGTGCCCATGGCTTGGCAAGAGCATCTGACCTTGGAAATCAGCAGTACAGAGATGCTAATCTGGTGGCTGGTTCCAGCAGCAACATGGCAAGCAATTACCATGCTGGAAAGAGACCTGGGGAACATACTCCAGACAGCCATGTATTGCCAACGGGTGCTACCAGAGTAAATGAAGGATCTAGGTATGGCAAAACTGATAGTGACATGATTTGGCAGGCTGTGCTAGAGAATGTTCAGTCAGACTCATTAAGAAGATTGTTAGCTAGAGAGGGTCGACTGATATCCGTCAGCCTAGGCACAGGTAAGACTGACTAAAAAAAGTTAGCCCTCTATGACTGTAACATTTCTAAGATGTCTTCTGACATTTGCTTTCATGTTGTCATGCAGCTCCAACTGTACAATTAATATTCAGCTCTCAAGTAAATAAGTCTAAAGCCGAGAAGTATAGGGGCCAAATTCTGCAGGCATTTGAATCTGTTCTTTCTTCCACCATAATACTTGAAATCCGATATGAATCAAAGGATGATCTGGCAGCAGGCCATGCTCCAGTTATTACTCCCTACCCTGAGGATGGTTCCTCAAATCTGGTATTAAGGAGGTCTTTTACTAAACATAGTTCAGTTTCTTCAGGAGGCGAGAACTTAATTAGGAGGCTTCAGAAAGATAGTGTGGTCCAGGTTGGTAGCTCAAATCAGACACGATGGATGCAATCTGATCCACATATATTGACCGAAGGCGAAATTATTGAAATTGGATCTCAAATGGACTGGCGTGCTGAACCAGATAGTGGCATTGTTATGGCAAACAGAAGACAAGAGACTGTCTCGGGAGAAGGTTTGTCATCACAGAATCAAGAAATTTCACAAGGAGGAAAAATGGTGAATAATGGAGATAGTCAACAAAAGAACATTGTGAGAGGCAAGGTATCTCTTGCTCATGTTATTAACCAGGCGGAAGCTTGTTCCCAACAAGGTGGCTGGTCTAGACACAAAGCTATATCAATTGCAGAAAAGCTGGAGCAAGATAATTTGTAAGTATTCGTGTTTGTTCAACTCTCTTATGCTATTTGTAGGTATAGATATCCATCCACTGCACTTGTGGTTGGTATCTAGTACGTGTGTGCTGCAAGTTTGCAAATGAAAATGGCCACAAACAGTACCACACAGTCAGTCATTAGACCAGTGAGGCCTAACTTTGATCCATGCTATGTGGAATAATGTCACAAGAGTCATTATATGTGCAAACATATCCATGCCGTGTGGAATACTATCAAAACCTACTATTCTGCACCCAAATTATGTATGTGAAGCATATCATAGTTTTCAATCATCAGAAGATGACTTCTGACGAAATTTTTGAATGTTGATCTGTTTGCAGGAGATTGGAGCCTAGATCCAGTTTGCTTTGTTGGAAAGCTTCAAGCACTTCTAGACGGAAGGTAATAATGATTTTGTAGCCATCCTCAGGCGAACATATCTTTTCATTCTTTTCCTCTCCTTAAAGAACCAGTGACTTGGTGTCGTTTATCATTTCTTAATCGGGTGCCATGATATAAAATGAAAAAATATGGTCACAAGTCACATGGTTACTTGGCTATATGCCTATATATGGCCAAAAAAAATGCGGGGTGGTTTGATACTTGTTGGCTGGTCCCTGCTGCACTAACTGTTCTTGAAGAGTATTATTGTATTCATTGTTCATGTATATTCTCTATTAACGATCTTCTGATACATATGAAAAACCTGAGCCAAATAGTCAAGATTATTTTTTTCGCAAGACTGCAGTAACTGTAAGCAGTTGTATCTCTTTTAGTTAGACTGCTGACGTTGTATGTCATGAATTATTTGTAACATTGTCAACATGTTTTTCTTGTGGAGTGCAGATTTTTAGTGCCCAGGGACGCTGGTGTCCTTGTTAGCTAAAATACCATGTTGTAATGTTTCAAAATATCATAAATTGTATTGTGTATGTAGTACACATAAAGTGAAATATAGCTACAACAATTCAGTTTGAAATTCATCCTAGATGTCAAGAAACAAAATAGACAAGCAGTCAGCCTAGCACTGTTCATCGTTATGCTGACAGTGACACTTCTGTTTTTTTTTAAAAAAATATCTCAACGTCAAAGATGAATTTCAAACTGAATTGTTGCGGCTACACTTAACTTTATGTGTACTACATACATGAGTTTTGTGATGATTTTTGAAGCATTACAACATGATCTTTTAGCTAAAGAGGGCACCGGACCCCCTGCAGCGCCATATAATTTTCCTTTCTTGTGTTTGTGCTGACATTTTCCACTCTTGCTGACCGGCACAATCATTTACTCTGCAGATGTCTGCACTGAAGATCAGGACACGAAGGTCGCGAGCTTTATCAAGGCTCGCCTTGTGCGGAAGGTGTATTTCAGTGAGATCTCCAAGATGAAACATTAGGGGTCAATCGCCCCAGATTTTACGTGTAGCTAACTTAGTAGTAGGGCGTCCATAATTTATTCTCTGTAATTGTAGCAGCGACCTAGAGGTGTCATTCTGTAGTACATATTGTGTAACATGTAGGAGACAGATAAACACCATAGCCCATTCTTTCCAGTGAAACATCAGAAATAATTGCTCCATAATCCGTTAATCTGAAGCCAAGCCAAGGCCTTATATTGATCCTCTGTGAAGTCGTTGATAGAAATGGCGCATGGGAGACTACGAGGCTTGCGGCTGCGAGCACCAGCAAGCGTTCATAGTTCATTTCTGGAAGAGAGAAAAACGACTCCTTGCTACCATGCATAATATTCCTCACAAGCCGAAGCTGTTTTGTGAGGACAAGCTCTTTCAAGCAGGGCCTAGGCCTGATTTGCTTCCTTCAAAGCTTCAAGCACTTTCTTGAAAACAGATTTTGATCATCCTTGAAATACTTCAAGTTGACATATATGGTAACGGCTTGCCTAGGCGGTGCGTGCGCTTGACGCACGGCACACATGTGGGCTTGCCTCGTCAGTGGCTCATGGGTGGTTTTTATATTCACACTCAGCGACCGCACACCTTGTCCTCCTCGGCCTCCACCTACCTCGTCTTTCTCTATCTCAGATCCATAGCTGCCAAGGTCTCCTCCAACGATTCGAGCGGATCCAGCGACCTCAAGTGATAGATTCGGCGACCAACGACGGCGAGCAAGGTCAGTGGTGAGGGTTTTTGAGTTTAGGGTTTTTGCGTAGCTGTAACACATCAAAGCACGGCATGGCTTGAAAGCTGAAACTCGTTAGCCCATCACCGCACCAAGTTGTTATAGAGCGTACTTCATCAGGCACACATCTTTGTCAGACAACCAAGGTGTTGCAAGTAGCCAAATACTTGAAAATCAATTTTGAGCAGGATTATGGCTCCATGGACTCTTTAACTCAGTAGTAATGGAGCTGCAGCGACTGTAAGCAGCTCTGTCGCATTATTTCCGAATTGGATTGTGAAAGTTGTATACCATTTTTTTATTAAACGAACAATTGTACTCCGTATATCATGGACTACAACTGTTCTCAAAGACCAAAGGTTTGAGGAATATATATATTGACACTCGACTTTTTCACTAAGGCCCTCTGCTCCGATCCCGCCGTACTCCGCAGGTGCCCCCAGTCCCTGGACGGCTTCTTCTTCCGCACCATACCCCACGGCCGCTCCTGGTCCGTCCGCCACTTCGTCAACGCGTCGGGGAGAGGCCCGCCCATGGTGAACCCTTCCCTGTCGTTCATGCCCCCCGGCTACTCTCGTGCGGGCATACTCGACTCGTGCAATGGACTTCTGCTGTGCAGATGCGACGACATCCACCCCGAGGTCATATATACCTACTTTGTCTGCAATCCGGCGACGGAGAAGTGGATCGGTTTGCCGGACCTAGAAGTGACAGAGAGAATGTTCTCTTTCCGCCCCTTCCGCTTGGGCTTCGATCTAGCCGTGTCCTCCTCCCACTTCAGAGTGTTCGTGCTCGAGAGCGACCCACGCCCCCCAATAACCTGGGATCAAGCGACGATAGGAGTGGAGATCTTCTCGTCGGAAACCAGAGCGTGGTCATACAGGCAGAGCGAGTGGGGTGATGGCAATGGGGCCGTGGTAGGTTGGGATTCCGTCTTCTTCAAGGGAACCGTCCATTTGACAAGCCCTGGTTCCTCCTCATTGCTCACGGTGGGCATGGACGGGATGGCTTGGGGAAGAATCCCCACTCCGCATGATTTTGGCTTCATTGGCGTCTCTCAAGGACGCTTGCATGCTGTGCACAGATGGGATAATGGACGTGACGACGACCACGAATCTATCAGCATCTGGGTTCTTGAGGATTATGTAGGACAACAATGGACCCTGAAGCATGCAGTCACTGTAATGGAAATGTTTGGAGCACGCCCTAGAAGCTTTGGGAACTCTTACTCCTTCATTGTGCATGCAGTTCATCCGGAACATGACGTGATCTTCCTGACGGCAGGCAAGCTAAGAAGAAAGTGCGTTTTATCTGGACTCTTGGAAAGAGCAATCTGTCTACACAGCCTTACGTGCCTTGCTTCTCACATTGGCTGTCAGACGGACATTAGAGTTGTCATCACATAGATATATGAGTTAAATGTATGGGTGGTCCATCAACTTACGCTCTAGTTTCACTTAGGTCTATCAACTCTGAATGTGGAGTTTTTGGTCCATAATCTTTGTTAGTGGCGCATTCCTAGCCCATACCCCTTTGTTTTAATTTTTTAAACGATGTGGCACCTCCGGGACTAGAGCACACCACCGACGGCAGCGGTGTCACGTCGGTTAAAAAATTAAAACAAAGGGGGTATGGGCTAGGAATGCGCCACTAACCAAGATTATGGACCCAAAAACTAACTTTCAGAGTTGATGGACCTAAGTGAAACTAGAGCGCAAGTTGATGGACCACCCATGCATTTAACGCTAGATATATATATGTGAACTGTATCTATATGTATGAAAGCCTTCCGAGTTTCTATGTGTGCCTGTACTGTCTACTGCCTAACTATTGGAATGAACCTACTTTGGTACTCTATTTGTTTTCTTTGAGCAAAATTTGGTTACTCTATGCATTTGCCTTCATCTATAGATTGTTCTGAATGTCTTTTTAGATGCCTGTATGGAGTAATTTGCAATTTGCCCTGAAGAAGTTGGTAGCTTGGCCTTGGCCCTTGTGCTTGTCTGTTTGATTACATGCTATCTGTGCAGCAGGTGCCGGCTTTGATCCAATCAGGTAAAGTCTCCATATATATATATATACCATCCATAGTAAGCCACCACTAATTCCACGTATTTTATTCCTCGTATCGTATAGACTAGAGTACAGTGCAAAATTGCGTCTTGGATCCCAAGAGCTGCCGCAGTGGCCGCGGTGGGCGCCGTCGCCGCCGCCGTCGCCTCAGGAGCATGGCCAGGCTCACCGACAACCTCATCTCCGAGATCCTCACGCGGGTCCCGTTCAAGTCGCTCTGCCGCTTCAAGTGTGTCTCCCGGTCATGGTTTGCCCTCTGCTCTTGTCCCGACATGATCCGCCGGTCTCTTTCTGGCTTCTTCTCCGGCACATACTCCGCTGCCCACTTCCGCTTCGTCAGCACGTCGGGAAGATTTCCGCTCATGAAGGGCCCTCTCTTCTCCTCCTTGCTAGCCGGAAGCGTAAACATTGATATTGTTGACAGCTGCAATGGTCTTCTCCTATTCGATCGCTATATGTATAATAGATGTTAGCCCACACATCTCCGGCACGGGTGAGTCGACCGCTCACCACCGGAGCCGACCATGTACTGTCGTTGCCGACCACACACTATGGCTAGAGGTAGAAGAAGGGAGGGAAAACAGAGCACGCACACACAGCACAAGCACCAGTGTTGGCCGGAGCTCTGCAGAGGAGATGGCAAAACTGAACTCGCTCTCTTTACTGAGTTGCAGTGGCAAACTATATATACAACTCTACCCATCTAATTCTAGTACACAGACATGTCAGACTGCCATGCTACTATAGTGACTAGATGTGAAGCAGGGCTGACTTTGGCGCCTGCCCCTGCTGTGGCTATAGTGCGGTAGGGGAGCCGTTTGGCATCTGTCCCTGCAACGGCTACAATGTCACAGCAGGGAGCCTTTTCGACACCGCCTTCTACTGCTACGTGTTCACACAAGGGAGCAGCATATTACTTAACAATTCTTCCCCTAATCCTGCTGTTAACCTTAGAACCCCTCCAAGCTGATCATCTTCTTCAGCTCCGTGAGTCGAAGACGGCCGAGCGGCTTGGTGAGGACGTCCATGAGTTGCCGACCGGTTTCAACGAACTCGATGACGATCGCCCTCCATCGACCACGATCCACGAGGAAGTGGAACTTGGCGTCGATGTGCTTGCTCCGGTCGTGGAGAACCAGATTCTTCGCGAGGGCGATGACGGGTGGTTGTCCACCATCGTCTTTGGTGGGTGAGCTTCCACACCGGTCGCTTCGCCCGGACCGTCGCGACCCCACACAGCAGCGCGCCGTTGTGGCCACCGCCATGTACTCTGCCTCGCACGTGGACAGCGCCACCACCTTCTGTTTCAGCGACAACCATGAGATTGGAGCGGACCCGAGGAAAACGTGCACGCAAGAGGTGCTCCGCCGTCCGTCGATGTCCCCGCCATATGTCAGATCGGCCGAACACGGTGAGCTGCACCTACTTCCCCCGGTCTTAGGAAAGACGATCTCTTGATCCACCGTCCCCTTGACGTAGCGCAGCAGCCGCTTTACCATAGCCCAGTGATCCTCTTGGGGATCCTCCATGAAACGGCTGACGTAGCCCACGGTGAACGCAATATCCGGCCTCGTGTGGACTAGGTAGCGCAGACCGCCGACGATGCTCCGGTAGAGTGTTGCATCTACCTTTGCCGCACATCTTGGCCTTCGTCGATTTCAGCCGCTCCTCCGCCAGTCACGCATACGGCTTGCACTTAGCCATGCCGCGCCCGCTCCAACAGACTTCAAGGCATACGCGCTCTGACTGAGCATGAGCGCCTCCTTCCCCTGTATCGCCTCGATGTCGAGGTAGTAGGAGAGCGCGCCGAGATCGCTCATTCGAAAACGAGCCGCCATCTTGCGCTTGAAGCTGTCGATGTCCTCCGCACGCGCGCTGGTGACGATCAAGTCGTCCACATACACGCAGACGACGAGCTCCTCCTTCCCCGTCGCCGCGTGTAGAGCGCGTGCTCGGTTGCGCACCTCGTGAACCCAAGCTCACCCAGCGTGGCGTCAAGCTTGGCATTCCATGCTTGTGGGGCCTACCGCAGCGTGTAGAGCGCCTTGTGTAGTCGGAGCACCCTGTGCTCCGCTCCCTTGATGGAGAAACCCGGAGGTTGTTTGACGAAGTCCATCTCCGCCAGCTCGCCGTTGAGGAAGGCCGATTTTACGTCTAGGTGATGGACACGCCAGTCCTTTGCTGCTGCCAAAGCCTGAAGCAGTTGGACAGACTCCATACGCGCTACCGGCGCAAAGACTTCCTCAAAGTCAATGCCCTCGCGCTGGATAAAGCCTCGGGCGACGAGGCGCGCCTTGTGCTTGACAATGGCGCCGTGCTCATCCCGCTTGACCTTGTACACCCATTTCAGGCCGATCGGACGGCATCCTGGAGGAGGATCGACGATCTTCCAAGTCTCGTTTTCCTTGATCGCCTTTATCTCCTCCAGCATCGCCCGTCACCAATTTACATCATGCTCGGCCAGCGCGAACGTGGGTGGTTCCTCTGCACTGACGAGAAGCAGCTCTAGGTCATTGAGCAGTCGACCTGCCAGGCCTGAGGGCACTGTGCCGCCGATGATGTCGTCCAGCCTGCGGAACCGCACCTCCTCACCGTCGTGGAAGGCATCCACGAACTCAGTGATGTCACTTGGAGGTGAGGCGAACTCGATCGGCATCGATGGAGTTCCCTGTTCCGCCGGAGTGCTCGGCACTACTCCTGGACCGCTCGTCACCACTCTTGGAGTGGTCGGCACCACTGTAGGAGTGCTCAGTCCCAGTCTTAGAGTGGTCAGCACCACTGCAAGACTTCTCGGCTCTGCTACGGGAGTGTTCGGCACCCGTTTTGGAGTGGTCGACACCACTGCAGGACCTCTCGGCATCACTCCTGGAGTGCTCTGCACCCCTTCCGGAGTGCTCGGCACCTGAAAGCTCTAGTTTGGTTTTGGTTAATTGATGAAACCCTAAGTGCTAACCTAGTTTATCAAGATGTTTATGAGATAGGTAGCACTACTCCAAGTGATGAAGCAATGACGAAGATCATGACAATGGTGATAGCATGGTGATGATCAAATGCTTGAACTTGGAAAAGAAGAAAGAGAAAAACAAAAGGCTCAAGGCAAAGGTATAAAATATAGGAGCCATTTTGTTCTAGTGATCAAGACACTTAGTGAGTGTGATCACATTTAGGATAGATAGCCGTACTATTAAGAGGAGTGTAACTCGTATCGAAATACGGTTATCAAAGTGCCACTAGATGCTCTAACTCATTGCATATGCATTTAGGATCTAGTGGAGTGCTAACACCCTTGAAAATATTTGTGAAAATATGCTAACACATGTGCACAAGGTGTTTGCAGGGTTGAGATGGGTTTGGGTCCCTCTCTCCCTCCCGCCGAGCTTGCGAACCAAGAATTTTGTATCCGGCGCAATAGAAAATAGACATTTCATTTTTCCAAAAGCGCCGAATCCCGCCTCGCAAGCTCGGCGGGATTCGGCGCTTTTGGAAAAATGAAATGTCTATTTTCTATTGCGCCGGATACAAAATTCTTGGTGGTTGGCTCATTTGAGCAAGGGTGAAGAAGTTAGAGTTGAAATGGAGTTGGTCAAAATGATGCTGGCGTCGGTCCTGTGACCGGACGCTGAATCCAGAAGCACCGGACGCTGACTGCCTGCGTCCGGTCACGCTGACTCGGCGGCACAGTAGGAAGGGTTGAGCACCGGACGCTGGTCTGCATCCGGTCAAGGTGGACCGGACGCGTCCGGTCGAAGAAATACGCCTCGGGGAGCTTACTGGAATCGACCGGACGCTGGGGCTTCAGCGTCCGGTCAGTTTTACCGGAGCGTCCGGTCAGCTTCGTAGCCGTTGAAATCTAACGAACAGCGTTTGAAGCTGGTGACGCGTGGCGTCCATCGGGCGACCGGACGCTGAGGGCCAGCGTCCGGTCGGTATGACCGGAGCGTCCGGTCAGAGCGTGTTTTGCCCAGTGAAGGGGTACAACGGCTCTATTTGATGGGGGCTCTATTTATAGCCCCATGGCCGGCTCAAGGGTAGATTCTTACACATTTTCATTGACATAACAACCTTGTGAGCTTAGCCAAAGCCCTCCCACTCATCTCCATCATTGATCCATCATCATTGTGAGATTGGGAGAGAATCCAAGTGCATTGCTTGAGTGATTGCATCTAGAGGCACTTGGTATTCGTGTTGCGCTGCGGATTTCGCTTGTTTCTCTTGGTGGTTGCCACCACCTAGACGGTTGGAGCAGCGATGAAGGATCGGCACGAGTTGGTGATTGTTCGTGACCGCCTTCGGTGATTGTGAGGGGAGTTGTACCTTCCCCGGCGGAGTGCCG